ATGATTAATATACGCATTGCAGGGTCGAAAAGCGATGTGACATCGTGGGAAGCTCAAGTGCTTCGTAATGCGGACAGGCGTCACGCCACGATAGGGAGGATCGCGAATCGGGCACCACGCAGTGCACCTTTCTGGGGGCGCAGTTCGATCACACTCACTACAGGCGGTGTCCCTGAGTGAAAGGTTTGTCCGGTCTGTACGCGCCGTGCCGTCGCTGAAGTATTTAACCATCGCGGGAGTGGAGTTATGGCGTCACGTTTTTTTTTACGCGGCTGCCATTTTTGGTCAGGCGTTTATGCGACTACTACTTTTTCATCAGGGCAGCGCGACGACGATTATCGGCACTTGACCGGGGGATTGTGCAGGAGACATCCCCGGCGAACCTTCCGTCGGCAGCGGTTGGCTTGGGCGAGAGATTACGACACATCATCCAGAATAATTGTAAGCGAATCATCAAGCCCACGGAAAAGGCATCGGCTGCCATCGTCACGGATGCATCGCTCCATGGATGGGGAGCCGTTTTTATTCCAGGCTCCGGCGACGTTAAAATTGCCGGAGGGAAGTGGAAGAGTAAGCCTTTCCTTATCATGCAGGCCGAGGCACGCGGTACGCTCTTAGCCTTATCGGCCTTTTCCGCCATTTTGCCATCCACCATGGACATTGGGGTAAACAATACTCTGTTTCAAGGAGCGGCGGATAAAGGCAGCTCAAAATCACGCGCCATGACGTGGGAACTGCAACGGATATATGAGTTTTTGGACTCTCGCGGAATACAGGCATCCTCTGGTTACGTACGGTCTGCAGAATACCCCGCAGACAGCATATCACGCGGTCGTGTTTTTACACTTCAGGACTTGGCGAAGGGGTGGAACTTGCGAAAGTGAGCGGCGGGGTCTTGTGGTTGGAGGGCCCCAAAGTCTGCCACTTCGTAAGTAATAAATGTTTTATATCCTACATGAGTTCAAAAGGCCACGTAAGCTGGTCACGATTGTCGCAAACAGATGGTGTATATATACTTAATTGGTGTTAAACTTTGAGGGTATGATGAACTCCCATTCTTGTTCCATTCAACCCTTTTTTATTTTTACTTGGTTTGGTTTTTATTATTGAAAATATCTGGATTTGGCCGGCGGCGCAGGTGAATATATATATTAAGGTAATTAAAAGTTTTGTTTTGCAGTTTGGTGTGGGAGTTCTGCAATTGTGCTTATTCCAACCGACGAATTTGTGTGTGCAGCTGCTGCTTGTGCGTGGTTGTGTGACTTGTATTTTTTTTGCTTTTGCTCTGCGTGGACGGAAAGTTATTTTGTGCTGAAGGCTACACGCAAATGAAAGGAGTGATGGCGATGATGATGACTGGCCGTTTGCTGCTGGTGTGTGCCCTCTGCGTGCTGTTTTGCGGTGCCGGCGGAGGTTGTGTATGCGATGGCGGACCGCTGCAGTGAAGGTAACGGGAATTTATTGACGCACATGAATAATGCTAAAAGTGACGGGGTATTTCCGAGAACTGACTGCAGTTTGTTATCCACTCAGATGGGATTAATAGGGGCGGTTGAAGCTGGGGAAAAGGAGGGAGCAGAATTGGGTGGTGCAGTCGCATCGGAAAAGCCCAAGCAATTATTATCTGGTACCACGTCAAAAGGTAATAATGAGGTTTTAACGCCTGGTCCGCCAGCACCGCTGCCGACACCTAAAGCATCAGATCAAGTTGAACAGAAGAAACTGTTAAAAACGGTTGATCCACATGGAATTGGCGATACCAGGAATCCCTCAGGTGGTAAGGCAACAGAGTCCCAATGCCAAAGCGTTGGTCAATCTTCATCTGGCAGTACTGTCACTCAACCTGGCAATGATCACAATTTGAATAATCCTTCCAAGAGTAATGCATCCTCCAATTTCACGCCGACGGATGACAGTGGCGTTAATATTTTTCCTAACACTCCCGAGCTGGGGGTGGGAGCACTGGAAAAGGTTAACGAAGATGAAGATAAAAGAAAAAACCAAAACAGGCAGTACAAGAAGGAGCGGAAGAACACAAAGAAAAAAAAAATGATAATTCACCAACAGGGACACCTGAAAATGCAGTGAAACTGAAAACATACCACACGCAACATCACCATCACTAATAAAAGCACCAGCAGAAGTGGCACTGGAAACAATTGCAAAAAAAGAGGGAGATTCAACACAAGCACGAGTGAATGGACAGTCAAGCCATGAAGATACCGTGCCCGTGCAACAGCTACAACAACCCCAAAGCGACATGAAGTCAAACAACAATTCACAAACTGAGGGCGTTGCCCCCATCACAGCCAATTCGCAGAATGAACCATCTGACGGCCATGCAGAAACAAAGCCACCATCACCCACGGAAAACGGTAATTTTGCCAATAATGAAGCTGACAAGAGCACTGAAGAGGGCATCCCGAACAATGATCCAGCAGCTGATGGTGCAGGGACACGAGAAGAAAAACAAAATGAAAATAAAGAAGCCAATCCGAAGGAAACAGTGCTGGCCACAAACGCCACAACGGGTGACACCTGGCGACAGTGACGGCAGCACCGCGGTCTCCCACACCACCTCCCCTCTTTTGCTTCTTGTTGTTGCGTGTGCGGCTGCTGCTGCGGTGGTGGCCGCGTGAGAGTGATTGTGAGAGAGAGCCGTGCACCGCCCGCACACACACTCTTCCTTCTCTCTCTGTGTGTGTGTGTGTCCCCTTGCATGGACTCTCGCCCTCACCTCACCCCACGAGACACACACAATAATGTGCCCATTGTATATATGCATGCACACCCATGCAGGCCCGTTGGTGCTCTCTTTTGCACCACATGCACCGCTGCCGTCCTGCCTGGCTGCATGGGCGGAGCACCGTAACTGTTTCTGTTTTGTTTTTATTGCATTGAGTGGGCGACCTCTCTCTCTCTCTCCCTCTGTGTGTGTGTTTTGCTTTACGGGAGTAATGAGAGTGTGTGCGCTGGTCGTCCCACGCCTCGGCTTCCCGTCACGTGTGTGTTTTGAATCTCTGCTTGTGTTGTGGTTGAATGGGCGTATTTTCATTAACCATCATTTTTTTTCTTGTGTGGTGACGTTTGCGTTTCATTTTTATTTTCAATCAATCAGTCTTTGTTGTCTCATCAAGCCAAGAAATACTTTTCCAACAGTCACGCCGATGGTTCAGTGGCTCCTTGCCTCACCATGCCCTGCAGCGCTGCCATTGCTGCTCATGATGTTGATTTTGATGTGTTGTTCCAGCGGGTGCTTTGCTGCCAGCCTGACGTACCATTGCTCCTTTGACAAAGCGATGCGTGTCGACAGGACGAAATCGATGCCGGTGTTGATGAAAAACGTGCCTTTGGTAACGGGAAGTACGTCGCAGACATACACCGTCATCGGGGGGAATGGATGGGCACCCATCCGCATCAATGTGTCGACAAGGGACCTGGATAATACCAGAAAGTATTGCAGCACAGATCGTTCTTATGTGAAAAATTTATTGACAGACTATTGCGAGTGTGAGGGCAATGCTCTTTCCGATAATAAGAGGAAAATCCTCATCCAAAATGTTGTCCCTGCAGCTGTCAAACTGCATGCGGATCGTCTGCTCGTCCAGCCACTGGAGGGTCCGTTGGTTGTGCCCCAATTTGCCACGGGCAGTGTTTGCAGTCGTTTCACTGTGCCTTCTGAGCATCATACCAAGGGCGTTGCCAATTCTGACATGGTGCTGTACGTGGCTGCAGCGCCGGGTGGTGTGTGGGCACTGCCGTGCGCCACGCTGGAGGATGGCCGTCCAGTCGTTGGCGTCATGAACATTGCCCCGGCCGTTTTATTTCACGGACGCCTCGCTACCCGCATCGCCGCGCACCTGATGGCCCATGCTCTCGGGTTCGCCCACTCGCACATGGCCAGCCGCAGCATGGTGAGGAATGTTACCGGTGTGCGTGGCAGGGAGCTGTCGGTGGTGGTGAACTCGACGAATGCCGCGATGGCTGCGAGGGAGCACTACAACTGCGACGACATTTATGGCATGGAGCTACAAGATCAAAATGGGGACGGGACTACGCTGGAGTCGCACTGGTCGCAGCGCCACGCGAAGGATGAGTTGATGGCACCGATTGGGGGCGCCGGCTACTACACGGAGCTGACGCTGGCTGCATTTGCTGACCTGGGCTACTTCAAGGTGAACTGGGATATGGCGGAGCCGATGGGTTGGGGCAAGAATTCGGGCTGTGAGCTGCTGCAGAAGAGGTGCTCCGAACTGAACCTGAGTAAATATTCCCAAATGTTCTGCAACAGAGACGAGGTTGTCGAACGCTGCGCGTCGGATCGGTATTCCAGTGGTTGGTGTCATCGGAGTATCATTGAATTTTCAAAACAGCCCCCGATGGACAGCTGCCCCATCATTGATCCCGCGATGGACGTGAGGGACCTTGAGGCAGTTTTTGAGAAGGGAGAATATTTGTCTGCGAGGCCCGGGGATAAGCCCTCTTCGTGGTGTCTGGACACGCTTCCCACCAACACGACAGATGCAAGGTACCCGGAGGAGACGTATCTGAGTGCTGCCATGCATGCGGAACTGAAGTGTCTTGGCATGCAGGTGCATCTGAAAGTGACTGAAAAGCGCGGCATCAGTTGGCTCCCATGCACGGACGGGGCGACGATTACATGGGGCACACCACCCTACGATAAGGAAAACGTCATTTGCCCTGACTACGCGGAGGTGTGCACGATATCCGCCACCGGCGGCAGTGTCATTCCCGTGGTTTCATGGGACGACGAGGAGAGGGTGTGGGACAGGAAGGTACGCCCGGAATTCTTGAAACAAAGTTCACCAGAGGCGCCCGTCCCTGTTGCAGGAGCAGGTGAATTTGGAAAAAAGCACGGCGAGGATTTCTTCACTACGGAAGTGGAAAGCTCGATGGGGGAGGAAGAACAATCCGCGCCGGAGGAGGGAGCAAACCCAGCAACCCTGCAGTCAAGGGAGAACACTGAAGATGGGGATGCGCAGCCAGTACAAGAAAGCATGGCGTCTCTGGCTGGAAGTGAGGGACTGCTGCCCAAGGAAAGCGAGGGCCCTGTTCCAGAAAATAACCACTCCGAATCCGGGAGCGGCGCGAGCCAAGAGGACCGCCTCGCTCCGCTCAACGACGCGAAACCGATACTGCGTGATTTGAATGTCGACAGCACTGCGCGTGTGTGCGTGTCTCGGGTGTCGATGCTTCTTCTTCTGGGACTATGTGGAGCTGTGGCAGCATTGTGAGGCAACGAGTGTGGAATTGCGACTCCTCACGGAGAATACGTGTTGCTTTTCTTGCGGTTTTTGATGTTTTTCTTTAATGTTTTTTTTTTAATATTTCCCCACTTTTTTGGTTTTTTTGGTGTTTTTTCGAATACTCAGTTTCTTTTTTTTTTTTTATGGTCGTTTGCTACAATCCGTTATGAGCGACGTGTTTCCGACTTTTGTTTCCCTTTTGTTGCCCACTCGCGGTGCCGACGTCACTGCTGTGCGTCCCACGGACTGCACGAAAGGAGGAGTGGAGGAGCAGGCCGGATGCCGCATGGAATATAAGGGATGTTGTGTGGGCTGGTGGGAGAGTATAACTTCTTTTTGTTTTCTTTTTTGTTTGTGCAGGGAATATGCATACGCCCCCGATCTTCTTTTGCTGCATGGCACATGAAAGTCCTGCCGAACCAATTTTTTTTTTATTGTTTTAATATTTTCAATTTTTTTTTTTACTCCCCATCCCCTCTCTTTTGCTTTTGGGGGCAATCACTATGGACACTTTTTTTCCTTTTCTACTCTTCCCTCTTTTAATTTTTCTTCTACACTCTTCCTGTGAGGGGTGCCGTGTGTTTCCCGCCCAACTGCTCCACTCGCACACCCACCGACACGCTCACGACGACGGCCCTGTGCGCCTCGCCTGCTGCACGCATGAGGAGGGGCCGTGACGTGTGGGCGTGCGACGAGGGCCTGTGGGGCGGAGCACACATTTCTTCCCTCTTGTTTTCTTTGCGGCCAGGGCGGGCAGACAGTCGCAGCGCCACACACACAGCCACACCCTGCCGCCGTGTTTTTCTTTGATTTGTTTTGCTTTGCGTGTTTATTTTACGCGCTGGCATTCCCTTCGGGGTCGGCCTCGTGAGCATTTCTTTTCTTCTCTGATGATTTTTTTCTTTTGCTGCGCTCACTCTCCCGATGGAGTGACGCGACTCCCGTCATGTCTGCGTGCTTCTCTCAGTCCCCACACACACGAGTGACTGTGCTCTGCGGGCCGCACTCGCACGCCGATGAGAGGGCTGAGGGGAGCAGCAACACGCAGATGACCGCACGAAATATAAACGGTGTGCGGACACATGGAGGGTCGGACGGTTGAAAGACATGTAAATATCTTTTCAATTTTCTTGTCGGACAAAATAAAAAAACAGTTTGGTATGGCCACACGGTAACCATCTGCATTTTCTGTTTTTTTTGTGTGAAACAGTAGCAGAGGACGACTTTTTCTTTTTTCTTTTTTTCTGCGGGGGGTTAAAATGTGAGGAACGGGAATTTTTTTTCCTTTTTAAAATGAATGTTGTTTGATTTGCCGCTGCTTTGCGCCGTGGACCCCTGCTGTAAATTTGTGTTTGTGCGTCCCTTCAGAAGCTTTACGCCTCTTCTCTTTTTTCTCGTTCCTTTTTTCCTTCCTTGTTGAGCGTGGCAGTGGGCGCACACAGCCGCACGCGCAGGACACACACATTGCAGTGCAGGTGGAGGCTTCCTTTGTACTCGGTGCTGGCAGTTGCGTGCAGCTGCCGCTTCCTTCCGTGGACGTGAGGGGAAAAGAGGAGAGAGAGTGCACACCGCGAGTCTCTTTTTCTGTTGACGTGATGCACTTCGTGCGACCGCGTGGGATGAGGCACCGCTTCATGGGTGGATAAGGATCCGCCTGCGCGCGTAGCTCTTTGGGCAATTGCTGGCTCTGTGAGCTTTGTGTGTTTTCTGCAAGGCCGTGGGCGTATACTGTTTGCAGCGTGATTGAAATGGAGGCGGTGGCGGTGTGTCGCTTTTTTCTTTTTCCATGGTGGGTGACTGCTCTCTTGTGCATTTGTTGTGTGGACGCCGTCTCGCTGTTTATGCAAGCAGTGAGTCATGACCTCCATGGAAGGCCGCATTTTTTCAGCCCGGGTTTATACGCCGTTGTGCTATGTATTTGGACATGTTGTTTGTTATGCTCAATTGCTCCTGCCCATCGTGTGGGGGCGGCCCGGGAGTTGGGGGGCAAGCAAGGGCTCGTCATTGCGGAAAGGCAGATATTAAGCTCGGACTACACCCGTGCCGTTGCGGACGTACAGACTCGGACTGCTCAGATTTGTTTTCAGACGGAAGAGGCGCTCAACTACTGCTCGGCACGTGAAACTAGCATTGCGGTGGTTGGCGGCCTTTTTGCGGAAGGCGGAGACGCTGTGTCAACGAGAGGCGCCCACCTCTCGGAGAGGGCCGCCAGATGGCCCCCACGCATGCACGGCAATGGTGCAAATACAAATCCAAATCAATCGCATCGTTTGATGGCCTGGGGCGTGTCAGCATCCGCGTTTCCCCAACCCAATCTTGCGGGGGAGAGACGGCTGGTCAGCACTCAGAATTCTCAGAGCAATTCGGGAAACTAAATTTTTCTTCTTTTTTTGCCGTCGCCTCCCCATCGTCCCCTTGGAAGAGGATTCCGGTTCAGAGGGTCGGGTGCTGCATTTTCTTGCACTGAACGTCACCACCTGGGCTCCGCGTGTATGGAATGAGGGCATCTCCGAAGTCGTCGTTAATCTCCGGAGCGCATACAGTTATAAGTATTGGCACCAGGCGGACGCTCAGTTTCAGGCAGTCTTTGACGGTTTGGTATCGTGCAGGCGCACGTTGGAGACGGAGCGGGATCCCACCGATCATTTCATGGATTTGTTTATGGCCCTACTGCAGACCTTCCAGTTGCATATCATGATGACTACTGAGTCCAGCGCTCCGATCTCCGAACTGCGTGTCCGCCTACGCACGCAACAGCAAAGATCATTGCGATGCCGACTGTGTCGTATTTATGGACGCGACGCATCCACGTGCAACGTACGCAGCACGGCCAGAAGGAATTGCTCGCAGCGCAGATGCCCGTCAAAAACGGCAGTGGGACTGCCCGCCGCTTATTGGGGTGGAAGACGGCAGCCCCAGCCATTTATTCCACTACCTCCCACAAACCTCACAGGCATCGCGCCGCAACGCCGACGCTTCATCCGATCTCTCAAATTGCCCGACACAATCGACGAGAGGGGCAATGGAGCTTATCCGCTAACGGCGCTTGACTGTGGTACGACGAATCACCGACGTCTCCGCTTTGGGCCGGCTACATGAGGAGAGCGAACGAGGTGGCTCGAGAGATGTGGGCGCCGTCAACGCGGGAGTCGGGAATGTTTCTAGCGGGGCAATTCACAACCTTTTGCCGCACGAACGGACGATGAACGAGGAGAGCTGCGCGGCCTTTTTGATGGCACTGTTAGATGCGGCGCCATCGACCTGACGGCACGAAAGGATTCTGCGGTCCATGTTGCAAATGAATCGAACCCCGCTGGGCATGGCGGCTTTGAGGTTACAAAAAATTGTGGTGCGATCGGAGACGCGGCGGGCGCGCCCCTTGACAGAGGAAGAGATGGATCAAGTAATCCGCAGTCGGACCGATTGGAGGGAACGTGTTGTCTTTCGACTTGCGTGGATAACGGCGAATCGTTGGTGCGAGATTGCGGCCTTGACAGCCAAAAATTTCACACTGGAGCCGGACGGGACCATAATTTTGTATTGGCCCGTGGCACCGAAGACGGCGAGGGTGGACCCCCACCGCACCTTGCGGTTCGTGAGGACACGAGGGCAGGATGCCCTCAACGTCATACAGTTATGCGGGACGGTTCGACGCAACGAAAAGCTCACGAATCTGACGACTGCCCACGTGGGGCGAGTTCTGGCTCCTTGGGGTGCCATGGCGCATTCCATAGAACGCGGTGCGTTGAGGCACGCTGCGCAAATCGTGGAGACATGCAATTTGGATCCACACGTGATCTCGCAGTTGGCGAAGCACGTCGACCTGTTTGACCTTCCCCAGAATACTGTTTGATATTTGGGGAGGTACACCGCAATGCTGACCCAGGTATCGTCGCTGTTCGCATTGTTGTGGAGGGAGAAGCTGCGGAAGGGCAGGAGCCCTGGTTGAAAGCAGAGGAACGCTTTTTCTCTGATTTTCATCCTCACTCCGCTACAATTACGAGACGCGCGCCGAGGACGCGTCGGGCGGTCCCCTTTTCCTTCGTCCTCTTTTACATCGGGTGAAAGCTCACGGAGGACTCCAGTCTATGACGCGCGATTGTTGAAGGAGGCGGGAATAATCGAGGACGCTTCGTCTGCAACAACAGTCGGATGGATAATGCCCTTTCTCGTTTGTGGAGGAGAAAACCACCGGTTTGCGACGACGATGGATTGCGTGGCCACGCGACAAGAACAGAGGCGACCCTTATGAGGCTAATGCTCCTCTTTTACACATTTCCCATTATTTGCCGCCTGTGATGGCTGAGGCCGCTTCCTGCCTGGATGTAAAGGCATCCTTCATATTCTCTTTACCGCGGGAGACTCGGCATCTCCTTTGATGCCGCGTGGAGGACGGCACGCTGGAGGAGCTGACACGGCTCCCTATGGGATGCAAGGCCAGCCCAGAAATTCTCCTGATTATTACTTCGGCGATTGCGGGGGTGACGACGGTGGTTCACCCCCTCTGGGCTGCACCTCCATTGGTGCGTGTCGACGTATGGATTGATAATATACGCATTGCAGGGTCGAAAAGCGATGTGACATCGTGGGAAGCTCAAGTGCTTCGTAATGCGGACAGGCGTCACGCCACGATAGGGAGGATCGCGAATCGGGCACCACGCAGTGCACCTTTCTGGGGGCGCAGTTCGATCACACTCACTACAGGCGGTGTCCCTGAGTGAAAGGTTTGTCCGGTCTGTACGCGCCGTGCCGTCGCTGAAGTATTTAACCATCGCGGGAGTGGAGTTATGGCGTCACGTTTTTTTTTACGCGGCTGCCATTTTTGGTCAGGCGTTTATGCGACTACTACTTTTTCATCAGGGCAGCGCGACGACGATTATCGGCACTTGACCGGGGGATTGTGCAGGAGACATCCCCGGCGAACCTTCCGTCGGCAGCGGTTGGCTTGGGCGAGAGATTACGACACATCATCCAGAATAATTGTAAGC